ATTAGGGGGGGGGGGGGTACGTTCATGTTTCAAAGTATACCTGTATGAGCTTGTTTTTGAAGCCTTACATATGTTAAAAATGTTATGTTGGTTATTTAGGTGGAGCATTTGGCGGAAAGCAGGGGGACACTATGAGTGTGGTCGGGATAGCGGCCGTCGGAGCATGGAAGTACGTTCATTAGTCTTAGTCTTTATACTTTGTATTCCATCCTCACCCAAACATGAAATTGTCATTTGCGTAAATGTAGATTAGTATTGATCTACATTACCAAACACACTGATCAGTGTTGATTTCATTTCTTTAATATAACGCGAAGTTTCCTTTGTTCAATAGTAATAAAACATCCTTCCTCTGCTTACGGATGACTCGTAATATGTGTCCTGTTGGCAACCATTGAACAAAGCCGAAGTTTTCTGGGGGACATTGATATATGTTGCGAAATTTGTACAGGCAACATATTAATGACCTTCATTGCAACTATAAAATTTAACGTGTATTGTGATAATAGATTTGTTCACTCCGTGATTGAAGAGTTACATGGATTTGATTTGGAGCATTATAACTAGGACCATACAGGAAACACAAATACTTTCAAATCACGGGGAAAAGCCTGTGTTGGTTGGAGTCGTGTTTCCTGAGGTTTTGTTCATTTTGTATCAAAGTTTGTTCTTGCGTGTTTGCTATGTGACAATGTATTCTAATTTTTACCAAAAGGACATACGTACATCTTCTGTCACGAAACAGAATACGTGATTGCTTGTGTTACCTGATGTGTGCGATGTATTACCTTGTCTGTATGCTTCCATAACTAACAGAATAGTGCACGATTTGATGTTATGGTGACCTGCATGTACTTATCATAGTAAAGACGCTGGTTCGCTTTGCTGTTGCTAGGACGAAACGGCCAGTGCGATGTGTACTTGACAGGACAACAGATATACAGATAACGGGGAAGAGACATCCTTCCAAGACACTATACAAGGTAACCTTGCTAGAGCGAGTAATATTTATAATGATTCTACAGAAATAGCCAATAATGTGTATTTTGTGTTGTATGCATTAAAGATAATAATGAAGCCTTCCATAATTTCCTTATATTTGCCTTTCAGGTTTACTTCAGTGACGACGGCCGTATTCTCGGATTGAACGTGAAGTTTTATATCAACGCTGGATACTCGCTCGATTGCAGTCCATTTGTAAATATTCAAAGAACAAAGAAATTAGCAATGTACCACAGTATCAACTCCCTGTCAGAGAATAATGTGTCAAAAACCATCTGATTCACAGTCAATTTCAGTACTTTACCAATGTATGAGTAATTTAAATCGGATTTTATGAAGCGCAAAAACAAAAACAAAAGAGCCGCCATACTTGGCGTAGCTCTCAATGCAAGGATAATGTTTTCTTCTTTGGATATAGCGGAAGGTTTCATTAGGAAATGAATACCTGTCATATTTCATTAAACTT